AAGTTTTCTATCTATCTTAGATAATTTCTCACGATACCATAAACACAATACTATAAACTTGACTTTTCAAAGGCTTCTAATTAATGTGTAAACTGAAGAACTCCAGAACTAAAAGTTTAATTGGAACAAGTTTGCATTCAGTAACAACCATCACATCTTGCAATTAGCAGCAAATGACTATGCAAAATATTAATTGAAAAAGATAATTTTTACTAGAAATGACTATAACCATCAAGTAAAATATTTGACATTTTATCTCGGTGTTAAATTCTAAAAGTATAAAGAGTTTAAATTTTATAAACCAGAAGCTTGTCAGAAAGCAAGATTTATACTTGATGCCTTCTATATCTTTTCACTAGAAATGATATTCACTATTATAATCTTTTTACCTAAAGAAAATAAGAAGGAAATAAAAACATTTTGCTTTGTTATTACTGTTTGCTATGCTCCTTAGAAGAAGAAAAAAATCAAGTCTAGTTTTTAACCTACTAGACAGCAAGGTTTCAGAACTAGTGCTGATAACTGACTTATAATTATTCCTCTAAGAATTGTTAATAAAGTCAAAGGGTTTATTCTCATTCTAACTTTATGTAAACTGAATCATGTGAACATTTTGAAATTTTTCTAAAGAACTTGATGCAACTAATGATTGCGCTGAAAGAAAGATCTACTTGATGCAGGGCCGGATTTACCTATAAGCCGACTAGGCCACGGCTTAGGGCTCCCAACATTTGGGGGCCCCAAAATTTAATAAACATAAAAAGTTGAAAACTAAAAATAATGCGTAGAAAAGTCAAAAATGTTGTAAAATTTATTTTTCATTAAATTCTCAATATTCATACTATTTTGTTTAAATAATAAAATTTTAAATAAAAAAATGAAATTTTTTTTTCCCCAAAATTAAATTATTTTAGGGGCCTCAAAAATGTTTTGGCCTAGGGCCCCCAAAAGGCTAAATCCGGCATTGACTTGATGAAAGAGTTTTTTTAAAAAGGAAGAACAGATTTAAGATATATTTCTAATAGCAAGAAGGGAGATTAAAAAATAACAAAGAAAATTACTTAATGATGGACTTATGAATATTTAAAGTTTAGCTTGTTATATGATATTTTCTCCTAATATAATTACCACAATTAATTTAAATTTAAAATGAGATTTGGAATTTTACAGCAAGTACTTAAAATGATCTGAGACCAATAATATATATATATATATTAGGTACGTGACAATCGCGATTTACGGCTCCGAATTTTATGCTAAAATTCTGTGCCACGTTTTTTGAAGTCTGTTTAGAGTTAGCGTAGTAAAAACATGTTTTGTCAGATAACTTTTTAGAATTTGATATCAACATAGATTATTTTTAAAAACTAGAATAGTTAACCTTTATTACTGTTTGGTTTGTAATTATAATGACTAGTTTTATGACTGAGTTTATTGATGTCAAAAACTTGGTTGTACTTCTGACATGAAATTAGTGTCGAATATATGCTGGAAACTTTTTCAATTATATTCTTTCACTTATATTTATTTATTTATCTATGCACCTACAAAATTTCATGGAATATTTTTTAGTAGCAGGCACCCTATTTTTAGTAGCACTTTTGGTACCTAATTTTTTTTTTCGATGCCGATTTGGAAGGCAGAGGGGTTGCTTAATTATTTTATATTTGATTTAGATAAATTAGTAAAAAATGTCTCAGGATCAAGAAAACTATGAAGGTTTTACTTGTTATTTAATTCAAGTCAATTATTTAAACATTTTCTTTAATTCATTATAAAGTTATGACACTATTTATAATGACATTAAAAACAGTGTCATAACTTTAAATGAGGAAACATTAGTTTCCTTATTTTAAAAAAAAATTATTCAAAATAGCGATTAAAAACATTTTTACAAAATTTTAATGAAATTAAAAAAGTTAAAATGATTTTTTTAATAAAAGTTGTATGTATTATAAACAAAGGTTTAGCTGATGGCCAGGTTTTCAATAGATTATCTGTTTGAGTTTATACATTTTAGATGTCATTTAATAACCAAAAGTATTGTTTATAACACATGTAACTTAAACAAAACTTTAAATAAAAAACATTTAATTAAATTATATGTATTATAAACCTAATTTAAAAAACATACTGTTTTAGCTGCTCAAAGTATTCCAATTAATGATTCAGGCAATAGCATCAGTTAGTTATTTTGTCTCTTTAATATTTTCATAGTTATAAACGTTTTATGAAAAATCAATATATATAGTATATGAAAATGTTTATATTGCTTTGTTAAAGTAAAGTTTATTTAATTATTGTTTAGATGAATTCATCTAAACATGATCGAGAAAGGCTAAAAAAGAGCCAGTTTTATTCCTGTTATATGATTTATTATTTTATTACGTAGTTGTTTACTCTTAGTATTTAAGTATTGAGTTTTTTATAAAATGGAAGAAGAAAATAAAGGTTTCATCTAGTATTTCATATCATATTCATAATAAGAATTTGATGTGAATTAAATTATTGATGATTCATATCTAATTTGAAGATTGAACGTTGTTTTTATTTAATAAGAAATATCTTTATGGATAAGTTGTTTTGATATAAATTTATTAAACTGTTTTTAAATTATCTGGCCACTATCTAAATCTTTATGTATAACTTAAATATTTCTTTCACTGTTTTAGATGCCCAAAGTTGTAGTGCAGCCGACAACAATGTTGTCGGCTGCACTACAACTTTGGGGATCTAAAACAGTGAAAGAAATATTTTTTTATAACTAACTGATGTTGTCAACATCAGTTAGTTACTTTCTGTATTCAATAGCTTAGTAGTTATTAAATAGATGATATTATAATATATGTTCTATATATATATATATATATATATATATATATATATATATATATATATATATATATATATATATATATATATATATATATATATATATATATATATATATATATATATATATGTATACATACATATATAAATGATATTAGTTTTCTAATACAGTTCTTTATTATGCCTGTGTAGATTGTTGTCTAACAATATTATTTCTTGTTAGTTGTATTTTTGTATACTTAATACTTACATTTTTTTAAGTCACTCTTTTTTTTCTGTAGACAATTTAGAACAAACAATCAGAAGTTAAGTTTGAATTGTTTTAGTTACTATATCATTTAAAGTATTTGTATGCTGTGTAAGTATTCCTTGTTGAATAAATGTTTTGATTAAAAAAATTTTTTTTAAAAGATTTAAGTTTAAGAAAAAAGATTGTTAAATGGTCAATTAATGTAGCACATAAAAACAGATTTACAAATCAACTGCATCGATGCAAAGTGAGAGATGAGATTTGCCAAAGACAAAAAATCAAGCGTCATAAAATGAATGAAAAAGAAAAAAGAAAGTTAGAGCATGAGCTATCCAAATTGAGTTTTAACGAAATTATTAATTCATGCAAGCGCTTGTCCAATGATCAACTATTTGATTTAAAAGATGTCATGTCAGATAGAATTGTTTGGAAGAAACTAGAACATGAATGGTACGATCCAAAAACATGCAAAAGTGTTTTATATAGCGAAAGAGTAGAAAAAGTTAATAAAAGAAAAAATAACTTTATTTACACCATTTCTTACTGGAAAGATGATGAAACTGATATTGGAGCTGTTGACTATTGCATGAAAAAGATCCAGCTTGCTGCTGATGTTGTTTCCAGTGAGTTACAATTTAATTAATTTAATAACACTGCAAGTGTTGTGACTTGTCAAAAATATGTTGCAAGTGTTGTGACTTTCATAAATAATGTTTATTTTGAAACAGGAAATTTGTTTATTAACCAAAGAAAATGGTTAGCTCGTTAACCATACTGTATGGTTCTGTTAATGTAAGAATCACACGAAAGACAATAATATAGGCATTTGCTATACTTGGCATACGCCCTCCCGTAATAGAAACACCAGTTGTAGACGTAAGATCATGTATAACATAATTTTATATTGTATACTAATTTTACACATTTCAGTAAAGATATAAATATAAAATCAAGTCGTTTTTGATACTAGAGTGTATCAAACCACCACCACCACACCCACCTATATTGCTAACATACACCTCTTATGTATTTTAATAGTTAAGTATAAATTTAAAACAATTTTTTTTAATATTTATATTGCTTATGTCTTTAAAAAAAACTTTTTTTCTGAAAAAAGTGTTCAGTGTTGTACGGGCATGGTGGTGGTTTAGTGCCCCCTCTGTCCGTCCGAAACGCCTGGTTGTTAGAGTTTAACATAAAGTTGTAGCCCACTCTTACACCTATCTTTTGACACTAAGATATTTGTTTTTCGATGAGAATTGACAAAGTTATGACAATTTAAGTAAAGAAAAATATTATTTTGACCACAGTTTCTTCAACAAATCCTAATATCGAAAAATCGGTACTTAAACCGTCATAACTTTTGAACCAATTGTTCAATTTTGATAATTTTTTCACCTTTAAAATACTGTAATAATCCTTTTTCTAATGATATATAACATTATAGTTTTCAAACAATTTGAAATTTTTACTCACGTACCTATATATATATATATATATATATATATATATATATATATATATATATATATATATATATATATATATATAACTACTTTAAAATAAACAAAAAAATTTGGGTACACAAAAAGAGTTCATAAAAAAAGTTTTTTTTTTCGCATCGTTTTGGAACATCCTAATGATATAAGGGTTCATCATACTATAGTAACTTAGAGCAATAGAATACACAATAACTTATAATAAGAAGAACGTTTTTACTAATCGTCATATACTTTACATGTATATGCAATTACTAGCCTAGCCAAATATGCTAGATTTATCTTATTAACTATATGGTTGACACATGAAATTTTTTGAAGTTTTTGATAAAGAATATGTACAAATAGTAATACTTTTAATTTAATTATATATAATTTTAACTTATTATAATAAGTTAACATAACGAACATTACTAAACCTTTAGGAAACTGTAATTCTGTGGCATCTTCTTCTTCTGGTAAAAGAACCTGTTCTTTTTCAGGATTTGTAGCCATTTCATGAAGAAGAAATGTGACTCGGATAGTTATTATTATCTACACACAAAATAAATGCCGATGTCGTATAAACTTTATTTTTTTGTCGAACTAATTTATTTCTCTCATATATTTATTTTTCCGGATAAGTCAAGGCAGCGGTTCCCAACGTATGGGTCGAAACTCCAACAGGGGTCGCATAATAATTTGCCCGGGGTGACTATTACACTTTATGAAAATAATTTGTTTACGTTAATTAATAGTTTCTTTTAATCATTTTAAATTTAAGCGGTATTTCTATTCTGAATACAGTCATCACTGAATAATAATATATTTATTCAACGTACCTCTTTCATCTACTTTAACTAACTGACTGAGAAACATTCCGTGATTATCTTCATGATGGTCCTTGGGTCGAAATTTTTCGACTTCTTACTGACAATTGTATTTCTTACGTAATTTCTTGGATTTAGGCTGCCATGGAATCTTTTATTCCACCTCGACGACCCCAAGTCAATCCTCGCTCTTTCTCAGGGTATTCCTCTAATTGTGCTGCTGCATATTCCATTCGTAGCCATTACTTTCATATCTATCACCAAAACAATTCTCCAGAAAATAGACGTCTGTTTACAACTGCAAGAAACCATTGTAAAATGGTTTTGTCTAACGCCAAAGCCCGCAATTCTCAGGTCACAAAATCTCGTATTTTATCTCAAAAATTACACTCTTGTGACTTCAGGAGAATCTTCAACAGTATCTATAACAAGGGTAACTCTGTTATTCCACATCTCTTGTATGGTTCAGATTTTGTTACCTCACCTAAAGACAAAGCTGAATTGTTTCTAAGAACTTTTCATTAATACTATCTCTTGATTCCACTAGTTGCGTTCTACCTGATACAGCCTACAAGCAGGTTGATCAATTGCTTGACATTAGTATCTCTCCAGCTTCTGTATCTACAGTGGTTTCCTGCTTAGACTCTTCTACAGCTTGTGTTTCGAACAACATACCTGTTATAGTCTTGCAGAGGTGTTCTCCAGAGCTGTCGTCTATACTTTCAAAATTATTTAACAAGTGCTTATCAGAGTCTTGTTTTGAAGCCTTCTGGAAAGCATCTGTCTCTTTTTTCAAAAACTCTTGAATGCAATCTGATTCGTCTAACTACCGTCCCATTAGTTTTCTTCCTATCATAAACAAGGTTTTTGAGTTTTTAACTAACAAGCACTTAATCTCCAATCTTGAATCTAATAACTTACTTTCTGATCATTAATATGAATTTCGAGCTTCTTTTTCTACTGTTGATTTGTTAACAATAATAACTAATATGTTTTATCGTGCATTAGATATATGTGAAGAGGATAAGGCTATCGTGCTTGACCTTCCTAAGCTTTTAATAAAGCTTGGCATGCTGGTCTTCTGCATAAGCTCTCTTTTTACGGTGTATCAGGTAACATATTTAAGATTATTAAATCTTTCCTTACCAATCGTAGTAAAAATGTTGTCCTCGATGGACAGTACTCTTCTTTAGCAGCCTTTCTTATCATTAGCGCAAGATGTAGTTGATACACCCTCAGTAAAAAGTATGTTTATGATGTTACTTTGAATGCAGCAACCTCAATCGTTAGCATATTAAAGCCTGGTGTTGCTTTCCTTCATCAATATTAATCTTTTCATGAATAAGTTTTACTGTTTCTCGAATAAATAAATAAATATTTAAGATATTTTTGTTTTCAGCAGCTTTTCATAAAAGATCACGCTTTATAAGGTTTCGGACACAAGACATCCAGCTTAGATTTCTGCATTTAAATAATAACTAAACGATCTCTAAAATTACTGCTGCTCTAAAGCCATTACTTTAGTTTTTAAAAAAACATTGACCCAAGATGAGTGGATAAGAAACGCCTCGCCTTGGCTAAAAAACAAAATATTTGGCAACGAATGATGATAGCAAAATTGCAATGAACCTGGAAATGCAGTTTTTGTTCCAAAAGTTCCCCAAACATAAATTTAAAGTTATGTTTTTAAACATTACGCCTAATCATTTCATTCAACATATTCAATTTAAAATTAGGATTGTGAAAACTGTTTGTTTAAGATTCTAGTTTATCTCGTTGAAAGATCAAGAACTGATAAAAAATAAAGCTTGTGAAATAGAAGTCAACTTTATGGAAGTTATTTTGCATCTTAATAATTTGAAAAAGTTTTTATTTTTTTCTTCTGGTAACACTTAAGGCTTTCTTAATCAAATATACTCAAATGGTTTATTGCCTAATTTTCATACTAAATGCATTCTAATTTAAATATTTTAGCGCAATGCTAACCCCTGTCGTAGAAGGTGAACGACCATTAAGTAAATTAAATTGATTTTAAAAAATTATTGTAGTGCCACTATAAAACAGGAGCTTCTATCGGTTATACAAGTTGAAAATGAATACAACTCTGTTGTAAGATGACAATAATAACAATAGCTTTTGCTAATAAAAAAGCAAGTTGTTTGTTATTCCTAATCAGTGAATTTTAAATGCATTGTATAAGTGTTATTTAATCCAGATGCAGTTCATCAAAATATGGAAATAATGTAACAGTAAAAAAAACAAAAAAACAGAAAAAGTGCAGTATTTAAAAAAAGAAACAAAATTCAGACAAAATCATATATGATTAAAAAGACAAAAACTTGAAACAAAAACCTATGCTTTGATATGCTTACTTAAACTATGTATAAAATTTATTGTAATGTATACAATTTATTTTTATTATTATTATGATAACTATTGTTATACTTTAGGATGGACGCCCATTAGTTTTGAAAATGCGTCCATATGAACGAAAGATCGCTTAATTTCTGAGCTTTTGGATAAGTACAATTCGAACGAGCTTTTATATGCAGTGAATAAATGTTTGAAAAGAGATAAAATATTTAAAGAATCAAAACTTTAAAAAAAAAATGTAACAACGATAGGATCACTACGTCAGAACAGTTACTAGCGCTAATCTTAGATGCTAAATTTTCCAAAAAACCTTTCCAACCAACTTTTCCCTATGTTGTTCAGTGTGTGGTGCATCTCCAATGAAAATAAAAAATTGATATTTAGTAAAAAGCATTAGAAGGCAATATCAGACTTGGCGTTTCAACATTGCATGCTTGGATAAGGCTTTTAGAATGTATGCTCCATTTATCTTACAAAATGCCAATTATAAAACGGTAGCCTAGGACTGAAAACAAAAAAATGTTTTTAAGCTAAGAAAGGTTGAAGTCCAAGCTGAATTTTGAAAAAAGACCACAATGTTATTTAGTTATGACATAAACTCATTAAAAATTAGAACATTCTGTTAGGAAACCTTTTCGCTCTGTATAGACTTGTATCCTATGATCCAAACACTTCATACGATTTTCACGGCTATAAAGTTATTGAATTATTTATTCTTCCATTATGTTTTTTGAAGAGGCTCAAGATAATACCACTGAAGTTTTTAAGAACTTTTGAGCTAATTTTAGAAGAAAATGTAATCGGAAACTATTTGATTTTTTTCATCGTCTTTTATGCGCATCTTATTCTTTAATTTGCACATTTAGAAAGAAGATACATAACAAAAATAAATCTACCATCTTTTAAAATTTTGGCTAGAAAACGTCACTTTTGAACCACCATTTTAAAATCTAAACTAATTTTACGTTAATTTAAATTAGTATATAGATATATTTAAGTGGTTCAAAAAATATAATTTTTGAAAAATATTTGCAGCATACACTTTTATGTGTTCTATATGATAAAGTAACACAGGATTTTTAAAATTTTTTCAAATAAAATGTATTTTTAGGGGTACCTCAAGACCGTTAAACTTTTATTGAGTAAAAAAGCCCTTGGGTCCCTAATAATAATAAAAAAATACGTCTTCAAAGATGTCTTGTTGAGTTTTAAATGAAACAAAAAAAAAAAAAATCTTTTTATAAAAAAGTTACTACTGCTATGCAGTAAAATCTAAATTAACATGTTTTTTGATAAAAGGATTATTATTTTCGAAATTTTTATATAATTTAACTTCGTTTGAAAACCAAACAAGAACTTTAAAATCCAAGATTATAAACTTTTTTGAAAAAATTGTTTTTATTTTAACATATTGCAACCATAGCATAACCATAGCAACTAGGATATCCCTTATCTATTGTGATAAGTGTCATTAATTATAATAAATAAAATTCGTTTTAAAATAGAGAAATAAGTTGGCTGGTAATATTTTTCCAAACGGACGAACGAATAACCTCTGAGGATATTCGCCCAACCAGATTCATATGTGGCTATTAAAAAAGCTGCATTGCCTAAAAGTTGTTTTCGATAAAAAAAGTTTATTACTTATATTTGAATAAAAATTTTAGTATAATTGAAGTAATAACTTTAAATTTTTCATATTATAACTATTATAATAACATAAACAACCCATATAGACAATCCATATAAACAATCCATATAAACAATCCAAATAAACAGCCCTTAAAATTTTAGAAATTTACCAGATCCAATTTTTTCTTGTATTGACGCAATATGCTTTGCTCTAATACAAAATGAGGAAATTGCCTCATAAATAAGGATGCATTCAAAATATTGAACTGATTTTTTAACAAGACATTGAATTTTTGCTTATATTTCTATATTTAAAAGAAAAATATCCGGTTTTTATAAAAAAAAAATTTACTGTATTTTTTTCGGTTCATCTGGACTAATTTCTGACTCATCCCAAAAATTACATATGTCCGGATACTTTTATTTAAAAAACAGTAGGCGCCAATATTTTATAAACATTTACAAACTTGAAATTTTTAAACAATATCATAAAGTATAAACTTATTAAAATTATAAACAAATCTGCTTCTGATTCTTTGTTCTTTAGTTTCTTACAAAGTTTCTCAACGATAAGTTTTAAATTATTTTGTAGTTAATTTAATTAAAATTAAGTTAATTACTAGTTAAAATTCTCTTAAATACTTCTTAAATACTTTTTAAAAACAAAAAACAAGAAAACTTTGAATTGTTATTATAAACTATATTGATATTTCTTTACCAAAAAAAAAAAAAAAAATTCACAAAAATTGTCTTAGAAAAATAGTCTAATCTACTAA